GACCAAGCAATAAATGAACAATCTTAAGTGCTGTAATTGTAGCTTTTCAAAAGTGTTTAAGGAACACCAGAATGTATCCAGTAGCTGGGAAACACTGCTATCTAATTCATCCTGATGATCTTCAAACAAATGGCAGCCATTTTTAAAAAAATGGAGTTGAATCGATTTAGCATTAACTGATTTTGCTGGGTCCCGTTTTGCACAGAAAATAAATACTCAAACCTGTTGTCACACTGGAGGCTGATCACTTGTAGCAGTGTCCTGCCATTTGGCGATCACAGTTTGGCTTTTTTTGGGACTTACTGCATTATTTTTTCATACTGGTTTTAGATTCCTACTTATTTTCTTCTAACACAAACAAATTTGAGTTTTGCCTCTCTTTTCATACTTCAAGAGTTGGAAACTGTGGAATATAAATCAACAGTTCATCCAGCAATGAACACACCTTGGAATCAGGATTGGAGAGAAAAAGGATATATACATGTGAGAAAGGATAGAAATAGGTTACTGTTCTGGGGACCCTGTTTAACTGCTGGCATCCATACAAAGGTCAACTCCAAAACTTAGTTCAATCCTATTCACGTAAAGGATTCATAAGGATTACAACTGGCTTTACATGAAGCGTGGCACTGCAGCCTTTGACCCAATTGGTCTGTCTGTTCAGTTCAACACCACCTCTTTCATTTAAATAAGGAGTCTTAGTGGATACCCACAAACTGAGTTTTATACTAGTCTACATCTGGAATGTTAAATTGAAGTATCTTTGTTTTAAAAAAAAACTTGCATAATAATATTACATTTTCTGGAAAAAATATTGCAAAGTTTGAAATTGTTTTAAAGGCAAGCATACCTCAGAGTAATTTCTGTGTGCTTTTTCTAGGACCTTTAGTAGAACCTCCGTCTCGTGTCTTTGGTCATAGTCTCCCACTTCTTTCCGTACTCCTTTGAAGATTTTGGTGAATGTTCCTTGCCCGAGACTTTCGCCCTGTGAACAAAACAGCACAAAGAAATCATGCAGGAAAGTTTGTGTTACTAATCTTGTCAGTCAACACTGCTCATCAGTAATTATACTCAATTCCTTTACTTTCAAGATTTAAACAGATTCCTGATTTAAATTAATTTTCTCACTCCTGTTTCTCACCATTCGATATCCTAGCAACAAAAAAAAACATTGCAGCAACTACAAGGATTCCACCCTTCAAAAGGAACTGTAATCAACTACGCTTTTACATTAAAAGGGTTATCCTAAATCAAGTTAAAATGACTTGTCTAAACTCCTGCCTAATGTAAGATACTTCCATTTGCCCCATTTGTCTCCTGATTCATTGTTTCTTTTTATAACCTTCCATGGGGCATGTGCATAGCTCGCAAAATCAGCTGCTGTTGCCCATCCCCGATTGCCCAAGTGGCTTTCTCAACCATTTTGGAGGGCAGTTAAGAGGCAATCACATTACTGCGAGTCTAGAGTCATATATAGTCCACATGGGGTAAGGATAGCAAATTTCTTTCTCTTAAAGGATGTTAGAGAAATGAAATGGGTTTTTACAACAATAGATGGTAGTTGCCGAGGTCACTATTACCGAGACTAGCCTAATACCCCAGATTTATTTACATAAGAACTAGGAGCAGGAGTAGGCCGTCTGGCCCTTCGAGCCTGCTCCGCCATTCAGTAAGATCATGGCTGATCCTTTCGTGGACTCAGATCCACTTACCCGCGTTCTCACCGTATCCCTTAATTCCTTTATTGTTCAAAAAAAATCTACCTTTTTTTTTAAAAACGTTTACTGAAGTAGCGTCAACTACTTCACTGGGCAAGGAATTCCATAGATTAACAACCCTCTGGGTGATGAAATTCCTTCTCAGTTCAGTCCTAAATCTGCTCCCTCTAATCTTGAGGCTATGCCCTCTTGTCCTAGCTTCACCTGCCAGTGGAAACATCCTCTCTACTTCTATCTTATCTATTCCCTTCATAATTTTATATGTTTCTATAAGATCCCCCCTCATTCTTCTGAATTCCAATGAATATAATCCCAATCTACTCAGTCTCTCCTCATAAGCCAACCCCCTCAACTCCGGAATCAACCTAGTGAACCTCCTTTGCACCCCCTCCAGTGCCAGTACATCCTTTCTCAAGTAAGGAGACCAAAACTGCACACAGTACTCCAGGTGTGGCCTCACCAGCACCTTGTACAGCTGCAACATAACCTCTCTGCTTTTTATTTCAATCCCTTTAGCAATGAAAGACAAAATTCCATTTGCCTTCCTAATTACTTGTTGTACCTGCAGACCTACCTTCTGTGATTCATGCACAAGGACACCCAGGTCCCTCTGCATAGCAGCATGCTGCAACTTTTTACCATTCAAGTAATAATCCTTTTTACTATTACTCCTACCAAAATATATGACTTCACATTTATTTACGTTGTATTCCATCTGCCAGACCATTTGCCCACTCACTCAATGTATTTATGTTCCTCTGCAAAGTTTCACAGTCCTCTGCACACTTTGCTTTGCCACTCATCTTAGTGTCATCTGCAAACTTTGACACCCTACACGTGGTCCCCAACTCCAAATCATCTATTTGTTGAATTTAAAACCCACTAGCTGCCAAGGGGAGATCTGAACCCATGTTCCCGAAGCTTTAGCTGGTCTCTTTCAATTAATAGTCCAGTGATAGTATCATTACGACACTGTCTTTCCAAATGCTTGAATTGTGAGTAATACATTCTAGCAGGAATCACTGGATAACAAAGGGTGCAATCTCTACCCAATTCTCCTCAGTTGCACAGACACTTAAAAGGTCAATACAAGGCTCCAGCTTTTCTCCCAACTGAGAAAAAGTTCACTCAGCGATGATCAGGGATTTAACACTCATGTACAGTTATGGTTCATAACTTTGTGGTAATCCATTATCTCAGGTCTAACTCAGTGGACATCTGCATTCTGTGCAGGAAGGTGCTCAGATTGAAGTCCTTATTGGGTCCTGAATGCTAATCAAGGAACACCCTAGCATAGTATCACCATTGAGTTACTTTAAGAAGTACTGGCACAAAATTCACTGGCTATCGAACATCACTGGGAAATTAGGTCTAATTCAGGTTTAGTGTTCCAATTTCGACATGTCCTATGAGGGTGTGAAAATGACAAATTTCATCACAGTTCTAATTTGTTCTGCTTGCAATGTGCAGAATCCTTTAAGTGATTTTTTAAAAAGCAACATTTTAGTTACCGTAAGACAATAGGCCAGTTAGCTTAACATGCATCATTGGGAAAATGATTGACACTATTTAACAGGATGTAATTGCAAGCTCTGTGATCATTTAAACCTTTCATACTGGATGTACTAATTGCATTAACATTTTTGATAAAGTAAGTTAAGTATTGAGATGAGCCAGTTCAGGGTTCACTGCATTTTGTTACATCTGTATGTTTAAAGAGAAGGGTGCTGGATTTATGCAGCTAAACACTTGTTTCTTTAAGACAAAAGAAGGTTTATAAACTCCACAACATTGCAAACACAACTTAAATAGCAAAATAATTCCTTGCCAGCTTCTGTTCCTAGTCAATTGCAAAACAGGACTATTCACATTCAGCAATACGTGTCCAACAACTTACAAAAACCAAATCTTCTTTCTTGATTTTGTGAAAAACCATTTGGCAGACATTGTGCCTCTGCAGTGTCGGGGATGTTGGCACATCAGATGCACTGTTACTTCTCAAGACCAGAAGATTAGATTTATCTGTAGATATATAACAACATGTATAAATAAAAAGCAAACCACTAAATGAAACAAACACAATTAACTTTCTCGATTGCTTTCCACTAACCATTAACACATTAACCACAATTATTATTCCTCTTATTGACAAGATGTTTATTCATTTTCCCTGAACAAGGAATTTTCTCCTTTTTCTCGGATTCCCTGCCTGCTTATTTTCAGATTGATGGGAGGCAGGCAGCCATCTATTGCGAGATCGCTTAATGTTAATTTTGACCGGGCACCATACAGATTCAATATTAAATTTTCAACAGGAAATTGGATAAGTACTTGAAGGAGAAAAATTGCAGGTCTACAAGGAAAGTTCAGGGAAAATCGGATAGCTCTTCTAAGGAGCTGGTGCAAGATTAAGGGGTAAACTGGTCTCTAAATCGTACCAAGATTCCCTCATGCTTCTTCAAAAGCTAATTATGCATCAACACCAGGCAGCAAATTTAAATGAACTGTGGGTCTGAGAGCCAGTTATAGGCTAATGATTAATTGATGTTTGCTTCCGAATAATGACTGATTGCATATACGGCCTGACGTGGTGATTCAGCCCCTCGAACCTGTTCCTTTATTCACTTGGATCATGGCTGATCTTCTAGCTAAACACCATTTTCTTTTGCTGTCCCCACAACCCATGATGCTTTTCCCATCCAGAATTTGATCAATCTCACTATTGAGTAGACTTAATGACAGAAACTCCACAATCCTCAGGAAGAATTTCAAAAATTCACCACCGAGTGAAGAAATTCCTCCTCTTAATCAGTCCTAAATGGTCTGCACTGTATTCAGAAACAATGTTCCACGGTTTTTAGACCCTCTCCACAACCAGGGAAAATATTCTTCCTACATCCACTCTGTTGATCTATGTAAAAATTTTGCATTTCTGAATGAGCTCACCTTTAACTTTTCTAAACACTAGAGAACCATCCATTCTCCTCAGGACAATCTCACCATGTCAGGAATCTGTTCTCAGGGAGGGTCACCTGACCTGAAACATTAACTCTGTTTTTTCCTTCACAGATGCTGCCAGACCTGCTGAGCTTTTCCAGCAACTTTGTTTTTGTTCTACATTTTTTGTATACTCTCTACGGTAAACATTACCTTCCGTAAGTAAGGAAATGAAAACTGTACACAATACTCCAAGTGCAATCTCCCCACAGCTCTATAAACTTACAGCAAGACTTCTCTGCTCCCGTTCTCAAAGCCTTCTGCAGTAAAGGCCGACAAATTATTTGTCTTCTTAATTCCTTGCTGTACATGTATATTGGCTTTCAGTGACTCACAAATATGGAGACCCAAATCCCTTTAGATATTAACACTTCATAATTTCTTACCATTCAAGGAAAGCTCTGCATTTGTGTTTTTCCTACTGGAACGGAAAAGCTCACATTTGTTCAATTTTATTTAATTTTAAAAAAATTCAAGATTTATGAACAAGTTTCAAAACGTTAGGCACATCAAAGAAACAAGGGTCAAAAACCAAAACTCCTTGTGGAAAGGATGCATGCCTGCAAAAGCTTCAAGGATACTATCCAAATCCAAACACCAACTTAGCATATGTTCTGATGGTGGAAATCTGCTATGGTTTTCTCCAGCAGGTGAAATTTGTGAAATCAGCCAGAAGAAACTCACAGTGGGACACACTTTATACATTTCTCATCAGACCAGGTAGAAGAGGAATGCCCCTCTGGGTGCCCAAAAGGCTGTCCTAGGTATCAACTTCCTGACTTCAAGGGCTTCACAGAGCCCCTTCTGAGCACCTTATCCGAGTGCCTGCGCTATTGTTTTAGTCCTGTACTGTGACACCCTTGTGCCATCTAACACCATTCCCATCCCCCACTGGAATTCGATAGGCAATTGACTGGGAACACAGGGAAGTGGCCCATGAGTTAAAGAACCTGCTGCTGAGGCCAGGAGAGTTTACTAACCACCTGACCTGCCCGAGCCAAGATCGCAGCTCACCACTATGAATCTTGGTAAAACTCACAGGTCACCAGCGAGAATGTCTGTCAATTCCCAATCAATGAGAGGAAAGGAAATGTAGAACTTGCAATCAATAAGTGATCAACATTACACTTATCTCTGAATAGACTGAATATTTTTAGTTAGTGGAGATATTACCTTTGGGCTTTGGTGGACAGCATTTGCTAAACTGGAACAAAACACCATCAGATCGGACAGTTTCTTTTTTGTAGCAGTTCAACAACTCTTTGAGGCTGCTGAAAGTCTTCTTTGCTCCATTCAGATTGTATTCATTGTTCTCATTCTTGGTAATCAGGCAATGCCTGCATTCAATCACACTGTCCTTCTAAATAAAGCAAATCAGAAGACACCTTAAGAAAATCTTTATCTTCCGTCTTTATGGATCTTAATCTTGGGAAGAAGCTTAATGTCTTTTTATCTTCATGATTCCTCTAGATACTAAACATGTTTGACTACTGGCAGAGGAGGGAATGAAAGGAAAGAAAAAGGAGAAGGGAGAGGACCTCTTGGAAACTGTTACATTGACCAAATTACATTTGCAGAAAATTGATTAGTCAAAGAAACTTCTGCCCTTAGCATTGTAATAAGGAAGTGCCTCAGGCTTAAATTTCTAAGGATAACACAGCATGTTGAAATGCAGTCAGATCAGCTCTCGCTGGCAACCATTAAGTGATCCATAAAGGCATAAGGAAGGAAACAAATGACTGGGGGAGGCTCAGGAACCTGAAATTGGTTACTCAGAAAAAGATAAGATTCAGGGAGATATCATTCATGATTGTTAACATAACAGACATCTATTTCTATTTTGCAAATATAATATATTTGCAAATCCCACAAATATTCAGGGACGATTAGGAATGGGCAGTAAATGCTAGCCATACAATGCCATTCCATGAATGAACTGGGGAAAAAAACCCTCCAAAATTAGAATTCGGATAGTGGAAAGTACATAAAGAGTTGAGATTTGGCTGCTTCATGGGCAGAGTGCAGAGTACATGGAACTGACTACCCGAGGTGACTGTTAAGACAGTACGCAAGTCTTAAACAGAAAACTGAATAAATATTTTAAGGGGATGGATGATTGGAAGGTATTATAATTTAAGGAACTGTCAGAGCGACAAGTCTTTTCTGATTTTTGTACCTTTCAGTGCACAACATCATAAACCACTATTACAAATGTTCACACTTACCTCAATAGCGACAGTGAGAAAGTATTTATTGAACTCTTTAGGACTACATCGAAGAATGAAATAGCCTTTCTGATTTCCTGCCTTCCTGAGTTTATTCACAGCAAAGTCCATCCTGTTGCAGAAAAGAAAACAGTCATCAAATTACTTCTGAAGAAACTCCTTTCTTTACTATTTTGCTCTCTTGAAGATTGGCGAACTGCAATGTTTGTAAGACAGGAGTTTAGTTAGAAATAACAAAACACATTTAAATTCCTGTGTAGTAACAAAGCCCCCAAGAAAGATGCTATCCCAACTAAAACCTACAAAGGTTGGAGTCAATGTCTGGTCACTGAACCCTACCTCTGAGGAAGGAACCACAGCACAAGTTACAATGTTTAAAATGCATTTGGATAGATACATAAATAGGAAAGGTTTGGAAGGATATGGGCCAGGAGCAGGCAGATGGACTAGTTTAGTTTGGGATTATGGTCAGCATGGACTGGTTGGACTGAGGGGTCTGTTTCAGTGCTGTATGACTCTATGTCTCTACTGCCCAAATAAACAAGTGGAAAGGCATTGCTAATCTTCAACAGATGAATCTCACTCTTCACTGACAAAGCCTTTGCCAGAATCCTTCTGAACCACTCAGTGCAAGATCATGACCAGGGGCTGCTGCCAGGCAGTCAGAGTGGTTCTAGAGAAGGTCAAGGGAGACACTGATATGGTGATTAAGCTAGACAGCTGCAAGGCAAATGCCAAGAAAAGAACATGGGCCTAAACACCACATTTATTGACCTGACTAAAGCCTTTGACAGTCAGCTGTGAGGGCCCCTGAAAGTTAATGGAGAAATTTAGCTGCCCCATGAGATTCAACACGAGGTTGAAAATTCCATGGTAGTACATTCACTCATGTCCTGTACGCTGATGTGTTTTCAGACTCCCTCTCAGTTACTAATGGCGATAGACAGGGATGCAGGTTTGTGCCAACCCCCTTCAGCATACTTTTCTCTGCCATGCTATCTGATGCCTTCCAAGATGGTAACCCTGGCATTAAAATTAGACACAACATGGACAGCAAGTTGGTCAATCTGGGACAACTCAAGGCAAAGACCAAGGTCTTTGGTTTAGCGGTGACTCTGTATTGTTGGTCATTTCAGAGCAGAACAAGTAACATCGCACAGACTTGTTCTCCAATGCATGTTACAACTTCAGACTTGTGGCCTGCAAGAAGAAACTGATGCAATATAGCAGGCAGTTCCAGCAAAGTTTGATCTCAAGCCCAAGATTTCAGTTCATAGGCAGAACTTATCTGCAACGGGTAAGAGTCATAGGGACAGAGGTCTGCAGAATAGGAAAAGGCCCTTCAGTCCATCGAGTCTGTGCCAGTCAAAACCAAGAATCTAACTATTCTAATCCTATTTTCCACCACTTTGGCACACAGTCATGATTGCTTTGGCACTTCACTTATCTTGGCAGCCCACATTCGTGATTCGATATATTGATAATCAGACACATGCATGAGTTGCCAAAACAAAGGCATTCTTCCACAGACTTCAAACATTAATCCTGAAATAAAGAGAAGTAAATCTGCCACCAAATTGAAACTCAAGAGAGCAGAACTTTTCAAATATAACGAAGGGTCCAGGCCCAAAACGTCAGCTTTCCTGCTCCTCTGATGCTGCTTGGCCTGCTGTGTTCATCCAGCTCTACACCTTGTTATCTCAGATTCTCCACCATCTGCAGTTCCTACTACCCCAGAACTTTTCAAATGTTTGGTTGCAACCCCCATGAGGTCATGAGGAGAAATCCTGATGTCCCAAGCTCCAATATAACTCACCATGGTACTGCGGCCAAATGCTGGAGCACACAGCCCCTTTATATCATTAATTCATTTTTAAATGTGGGTATGGCCTATCGGCCTTAGCACTGAGACTTGAAAAGCTGCACAGAAAATTCTTGCATTGATCAATGTAGGTACTACTTCAACTTGAAAACTCAGTGAATGAAATACCACTGCCCCCCAAAGCCATGTCCCAACCCTCAGGGTCACAGCCATTTTTGAGTATTGTAAAGGAGTTACAATGTGAAAAGGCTTCAGCAGTACTGCCACATAGCCATGGTCCTGTTATTTGTCCAAGATCGCTACATCTGGCCCAAAACTTATATTTTATTTGTTCATGGGTTGTGGACATCACCAGCTAGGCCAGCATTTATTGCCCATCTCTAATTATCCAGAGGGCAGTTCAGAGTCAACCACATTGCTGTGGGTCTGGAGTCACATGTAAAGCCAGACTATGTAAGGATGGCAGATTTCCTTCACTAAAGGACATGAGGTGAACCAGTTTACAACAATTGACAGTAGTTACATGGTGATCATTGCACTAGGTTCTTATTCCAGATTTTCTTCTGAATTCAAAATTTCACCACGTGGGATTCAAACCCAGATCCTCACAACATTGGCTAAGGGTTCGGAATTATTAATCCAGTAACATTACCACTATACCACTACCTACTCATAATAACAATACAGCTACCTTTGAAAGCAAAAGCATCTCAGAGTTAGACAGGCTAAACAAGGTGAGGCAATCCTAAGGCAGCAGCTTTTCCAAAGTTCAAGCATTTGCAGCAGTGTGTCTTCTTTGCACATAACATTCTGGATGCAGATCTGCCTAAACAATCTCCTAGAGACCTTCTGGAACGTAACCAAGCACCATGGTCATCTTTGCTTTGGAGGATGATCAAGTCCCATGTAATAGCACATTGTTATTTCTGAGCCACGAGGCATGTTTCGGTCTAAAATTCATATCCTCACATATATGCAAAGGAAAGTTGGATACTTCTGCTCCACAGGATCCATAGCTCCATTTTAATGGGTTTAGGAGGGACTAACCTGGGAATTGACCTCGTACTTTCTAACCCTCCAAAGAAACACGCAGCTAGTTGGATGATGATATTGTCAGAGGATTCCTGTTTCCAGTTACACTTCCTCACCTAACTCATGGATAACAGAGACACAAATTGTAGTTTGTGAAACACAGAAGTGGTCTGGGGAACAGCAGCAGAAGTGCATGGTTCAGTTCTGTCGCTCAGTTCTGAACATGGTACAGCCAGTGAGTTGGCAAATTGATATTTGCTTAGAATAAATTAACACATTTCTGAATGGGCAATAAATACTGGCACAGCCAGTAACATTCAAATTCCATTAATTAATTAATTAAAACAAATACACTCTCTCAAATGCTACATAGGGCAAGATACAAGAACACATAATTTTAGTAGAGTGCAAATTGATTGAAAACGCAAAATAAAAGGGATAAATAGACATATTTCTCTCATTCAACTTCTCTATTGTATTCAAAGTATTCTAGATAATCCCCTTTGATCTTTTTTTGGAAATACTGAGAAGTATTTTGTTCGCTTAGACATGAAGTGATGTGTGCTGCCCCATCCAATCCTGATAGTTGGCAGCTCGCTGGTAAATTTCCAACTCCCTCTCGTATTCCATGAATAGTGGAGTTGGCACTCATGTTAACATCTCAACTTTAATGCGTTAGAATCTAGTGACCTGCAACAGCCAACACAAACTTTGAATTCGGTTTACACGCGTCTCTAACAAGCAGAGCCAAAAAGTTGGTGGAAATCCCCAACACCCAGGCAGCAGGTTACAAGGTGCCCAGGATCCACTTGAGGGCAGCACCACTTCATGAGCCAAACATTGGATAAATTACTCAAATTCTCAGCAGAACACTGAACAGAATTGTAAAAAAGCAATAATACTTCACAGAGTTGTCACTTATACTTGCTCAAACGAATTAAAGTAGCAAACAGTTTCCAGTTCTTAAATTCTTTCATTTTCACATTTTTATCCAATGGATTTACTTTTTGTTAGAAATTGAGAGTCGCTGATCAACGTTTAGTATTTCTTCGACCTAATTTTCTTCTTCCTCCCCCACCCATTTCATTCCCATCTTCGTCTTGTCATGCCAGGTTGTGCCAAACACACACTCCTTGAAAATCTACTTCTTTCCAAATCCCTCCACATTAAATTAAATCCTCTTGTTCTCCAAGACCTTTGCACTCCTCCAACTCTGGCCTCTGCAACATCGATGATTTTAATCCATTGACCATTGACGTCTCAGTCTTCAGTTGTCCAGGCCCGAAGCTCTGGAATTCCCATCTGAACCTCTCCACTTTTCAGCTCATTCTTGTGCTCTTTAATAAGGACCACTTGGTTCACTAAGCTTTTGGTTCTCTTGTCCTAATAATATTCCTTTACGTGGCTGAACATCAAGCTACCACAAAGCACCTTAAAATATTTTGTACGCTCAAGGCACTTTATAAGCAGGACTGACCAGTCCTTTGTGACTACAAACTCAGGTGAAGTTAGAAAACAATGAAGTAGGGGAAAAAACGGAGCAGTCTTTCTTTCACTGTGCTCCTCCATATCCCAATTTAACAGGACAAATCTTACGGTTTTCACTTAGTGTCATGCAGAGGTTTATCTCAATACTACCTCATCCAATTCAAACAATGAGCAAGAACAGGTTACATTTTCTGGCTAGGATGTTTTAATTTGCAACACGTTACTTAAAACGATTCAACACTTACGAGATGGGTCCATGGCAATTGCTCTGGATGTTTTCCAACAATCTAGGAGGTGCAACCTCTTTGCAGAGAAAGTGGTGAGCGTCCGCAGTTAGCCTATAGTATCCATCGATTAGTGAGACAAACGAGAAGCCTTCTTTCAAGGACGGAAACTCAACTTCCTATGTCAAAAACAAAAGCAAACCGAATTTGCAATTGGAAGTACACAGAAGAGTGCAACTTAAAGAAGCTACACAGTTTTATATTCAAAGACTGTCCAAAGCTAATAGAACCTAAACGAGCGAATATTCAACTGTACTCCTGAGTTATTTCTGCAGAATGTCTTAATTGTGGCTATTGGTTTTACATCATAGGGAATTTTAAATCATGTCACTTTTGGTCTTGAAAAATGTCTCACACTATGTATCAATCATCCTCAAAATGGATTTTTAAATTTCCTTAATGGGATATTGGTATTACTGGCAATACTTGCTTTCTATTTCTGGTTACCCTTGAAATGCCAGGCTATGACCATCATCAATAAGAGACAATCTAACCACCACCCCTTGACATTCAATGGTGTTACCATCACTGAAATCCCATTATCAAATTCCTGGGAGTTAATCATTGACCAGAAGCTCAACTGGACTCACCTCATAAACACAGTGGCAACAAGAGCAGCTCAGAGGCTAGGAATACTGCAGCGAGTAACTCACCTCCTGACTCCCCAAAGCCTGTCCACTGTCTACAAGGTACAAGTCAGGAGTGTGATGGAATACTCTCCACTTGCCTGGATGAGTGCAACCCCAACAACACTCAAGAAGCTTGATACCATCCAGGACGAAGCAGCTTGCTTGATTGGCACTACATCCACAAGCGTCCACTCCCTCCATCACAGACGCTCAGTAGCAGCAGTGTGCACTATCTACAAGATGCACAGCAGAAATTCACCAAAGATCCTCAGACAGCACCTTCCAAACCCACGACCACTTCCATCTAGGAGGACAAGGGCAGCAGACATATGGGAGCACCACTACCTTCAAGTTCCCCTCCAAGCCACTCACCATCCTGACTTGAAAATTTATCAGTGTTCCTTCACTGTTGCTCGATCCAAATCCTGGAATTCACTCCTTAATGGAATTGTGGGTCAACCCACAGCAGGAGGACAGCAGCAGTTCAAGAAGGCAGCTCACCACCACCTTCTCAAGGGCAACTAGGGATGGGCAAGAAATGCTGCCCAGCCAGCGACGCCCACATGCCACAAAGATGACTAAAAAAAAACTGACTTGATTTGTTAAGCCATTTCAGGGGGTAGTTAAGAGTCTGCCAATTTGCTGTGGATCGGACGTCACACGTAGGTCAGACCAAGTGAGTGTGGGCGATTTCCTTTCTAAAAGATTCGACTGAACTAGATCAGATTCTGAGGTAGGCAGGTCTGATACTATCCAGCCTATGACTCCTGGAGGAAAAGAGGTGCGTACATCCGGGTACTTTGTGCCTAGGTTCTTTTGTATGCCCCTAGACCGAAGCTAACCTGTCTTGGTAGCGAACATCTATCCCATAATTAAAGTCTGAAGAGACCAAGGAAAGAAACAGGTACTGAAAGTCTACAAAAATAACCTGGATAACCAGGCACCTACTTCCATGGATACAGTTGTATAACATATCACATTTCATTCAGGAATGCAGAGGAGATTAGAATGAAATGCAGAAAATACAAATTAAAGTGCGAGTTATAATGCTGTAACTGCTAAAGATAGCAAACAATATTTTGGACATCACTGAAAATGTACCGTTTTTTTCTGTACACCTACACCATTTACTTCAAAGACTTCAAAGAGCAAGACATAGAATCAGTGTGGGTAAAAGTAAGAGGTCACCACAGTCTCCCAAAACAGCAGTTACACTGTAGCTCAGAGCATTCAGGAATGATAAATGGGACATACAAGAAAGGTATCATAATAATCCTGGTTGAGTTTAATCTGTATGCAGATTGGGTGAACCAGGTTACCAAAGGAACAGATGGCCTCCATCCTAGAATCTTGGAAGAAGTAGCTGCAAAGATACTAAAGACATGAGTTATAATTTTCCAAAATGTATTATTTTCTGGAAGGGTGCCAGTAGACTGCATAGTGCTGTTACATCAGCTATTCAAAAATGGAGGGAGGCAGAACATTCAGAACTATAGGCCAGCTAGCTGAACATCTAATGTAGGGAAGTTGTTAAAATCCATTATTAAAAGGAGGTTAAACCAGGACACTGAAAATCAACATTTGATCAGGCAGAGTCAAATCTTTGTAAAAAGAAATTGTGTTTAATTTGAAATTTTGAGGAAGCAACAAGGAAGGTAAATTAAAGAGGAACTTGTAAATGTGCTGCAATTGGATTTCTAGAAGGTGTTTGATAAGGTGCCACATTAAAGGGGAGTGCAGGATAAGTGCACATATAGGGAATAATACAACGTCCTGGATAAAGGCTTGGGCAAGTGATCTTGTGGTGCAGTGGCAGTGCCACTACCTCTGAACCAGAAGGCCTAGGTTCAAGTCCCACATGCTCTAAAGGTATACAAATAACATCTCTGAGCAGGTTAATTAGGAAAATTTTTTTTAAAAACGTGAGAAATATTGGCTAGCTAAGAAGAACAGGATGCAGACAGTAGGCATAAATAGGACTTTTTCGAGTTGGCTAGTGGATGATTACGGATCAGTGCTGGGGCCTCAAATATTTATAATGTCCATCAAAAACTTGGATGTGTATGGTATGGTAGCTAAATTTGTTTAAGACACCAAGATTGGTAGGGAAATAACTTGTCAAGAGAGTAGAGTCCAAAGTGATACAGATAGGTTAAGCAAATGGGAAAAAAATGGCAGATAGCATATAATGTGGGAAAATGTGAACTTAACCTCTATGGCAGCAAGAGTGGAAAAGCAGCATGCTATTTAAATGGGGATACATTGCACAGTTCCGAATTAGAGTGATCTGGGTGTGCTGGTACACAAATCGCAAAATGTCAGTATGCAGGTACAGAAAGTGGTTAGGCAGGCAAATGGAATGTTGGCATTTACTGGAAACAGAATGGAATATGCAAGTAGGGATGTTTTACTGCAGATGTAAAGAACACTGCTGAGACAAATCTAAGAGTATCACGTACAAATTTGGTCTCTTTTTATTTGAGAAAACAATGCTAAAATAGCATTGGAAGCAGCTCAGAGAAATCATATTCTTCTTAATCCTGGGATGGAGGGCTTATCTTAGGAAGAAGGCTTTAGCAGGTTTGGCCTTCTGCCATGGGCGTTTAGAAGAATAGGAGGTGATCTCAATGAAACCTCTAAGATTCTGAGCTCTCTTAATATGATAGGTACCAAGAGGATATTTCTTCCTGTGGGATAGACTAGAACTTGTTGGGGGCGTGGGTAATAGTTGAAAGATAAAAGAGGTCTTGCTTTTCAGATCGAGATGAAAATAATTTTCTTTTAGAGGATCACCGAAGTATGGGATTCACTTCTCCACAAAACGGTGGAGCCTGGGTCATTGAATTTATTCAAAAATAGGAGTTTGATTGATTCCATTTGTCTAGCCACAATCTAAGGTTATGGAGGGCAGATAGGAAAGTGGAGTCAAGACCACAACCAGATCAGCCATCACTGGAGCAAGTTAAAAGAGATGACTGGTCGAGATCATCTTCTGAGTGATTTTTTAAAATTCATTTGTGGGAATGTGGACATCTCTGGCTGTCAGCACTTTTATTGCCCGTCCCTAGTAGCCCTTGAGAAGGTGGTGATGCGCTGCCTTCTTGAACTGATATAATCCACATGCTGTTGGTTGACCAACAATGACCTTAGGGAGGGAATCCCAGGATTTTGACCCAGCGATAATGAAGTAATAGCAATATATTTCCAAATCAGAATGATAAGTGGCTTGGAGGGGAATTTGCAGGTGACGGTGTTCCCATGCATTTGCCATCTTTGTCCTTCCAAATAGAAATCATCATGGGTTTGGAAGGTGCTGTACATGTATCTTTGGTGAATTTGTGCAGTGCATCTTGGTACACACTGCTGCTACTGAGAGTATTGGTGGTGGACGGGGTGGATGCTTAAGGGTGTGGTGCCAAATGGGTGAGCTGCTTTGTCCTGGATAGTGTCAAGCTTCTTGAATGTTGTTGGAGCTGCACCCATCTAGGCAAGTGGAGAGTACTCCATCACACCCCCAACCCCAACTTGTGCCTTGTAGATGATGGACAGGCTTTGAGGAGTCAGGAGGTGAGTTATTTACCACAGTACTCCTATCCTCTGTATTTGTGAGACAAGCCTTGTTGCGTTTCTAGTCAATGGTAACCCCAAGGATGTTGATAGTGGGGGATTCAATCATGATATTGAATTCAATATTGAATGTCAAGGGGTGGTGATTAGATTGTCTCTTATTTGAGATGGTCACTGCCTGGCATTTGTGGGAGGTGAATGTTACTTTCCACTTGTCAACCCACACCTTGATATTGTTCAGATCTTGTTGCATTAGAACATGGACTACTTCAGTATCTAAGCAGTTGTAAATGGTGCTGAACATTGGCAAACATCCCCACTTCTGATCTTATGATGGAAGGAAGGTCATTGATGAATCAGCTGAAGATGGTTGTGCCTAAGACACTACCCTGAGGAACTCCTGCAGAGATGTCCTGGAACTGAGATGTCTGACCTCTGACAATCACAACTATATTCGTATGTGCCAGTAAGACTCTACGTTTTTAGAGCTGTGCCAATGATGCCATCATATTCTGGTTACGCACTCTTAGGAAGATACTTGAGATGGAGACATCACACAACTGCTCTGTGCCTTCAAACACAGTGCTTCCCCAATGTGTAACAGTGAGCTAAGAAAGGAGTACCTCCTGAGTGCACTGCAGTCAAACGTGAACCTATTTGTGCAACAATTAGTCAACAGCTTAAGAAAGAAGCGATCAATCACAGGTTATATGTCGACTATATAGACTGATAAAGAAGCTGCAGAAGTGGGGGAAGTGACAGGAAGGCACAAGTCTGACAAAATTATTAAGCTACAACGACCTCCTTGTGGTGTTTCAAGACAGATAAAGCAACTTACAAAGCAATACGACAAGCACATGGTGGTATACTTAATTACAGTATTCGATAAGCCTACAGTGTATAGATGGTGAACTTTGTCACCA